GCCTCACCTTGAGATATTTCTGATAGTGACAGAAGCAGTTTGAGAGATCATACTAGTCTCTATCTTGTTTTTAACTTAATATAATGTGGGCGTCTTCCCAATCAGGTCACAGATCTAGTTGTTCCTTTCAATACATGCATGATAAATATGGTGAATTGAATTCCTTTCAATGATAGTCATCAGGAATGATGTTGAAGAGGAGAAAGGTCACGTGTGGAAATGGCTGGAATCCCCTGCCCACGTGTGCCTTGCATGACATGGACAGTTAGTGGTTTGGGGTGAAAGAAATGCCATACAGTCAGTCCTCTCACACAGACAAATGACTCCCTACAAGTATCTGACAGTAACTGGGTTCAACAATGCAGGGTGTGTGCAAGGAAGGAAAACGGGAGGAGACAACGTGCCTCATGCTGTGAAAAAGCAGCTGGTGGGGAAACAGGCGTCTTGCTCCCGCTGCAAAGTTCTCATCAGAAATCACTTGTACGCTCCACTGGATACTGCATCACTAAGGTCAGGCTCTAAGAGTGGGGTGGGTATCTGATGTGAGAGACAGTCACACCTTCCAGCTGCAAGGCTGAAAAGTAAAAACAAAACAGAAGCCAAGTGACTGCAATGTCCTGCTTCTAACTTTCCCAAGTCTTGCCTCAGAATTGGGTGAGGCTTCCCCAGGGCCCTCACCATGCCACAGGCAGGGATGTGCTTCCTCAGAGCCTTTTGCAGAAAGAAGAGTCACCACTGGGAGAGGAGGTAACAGCAACCACCCAGCACATAAGGAGACAGGCGGCTCTCCCAGCTGCTCCCTGGACGGCGGCAAATAGTCAGGCATGGAAGACCAGAAGGCACGAGATGGAAGCAGATATACAACCCAAGAGAATAACAACCTAAAAAGCCTTATGGGACCTGAGAGCAGCTGAGCTTTCAGAATGCTGGCTCCATTTCACGTGGCAAAGCTAAGGCTGGGGAGGGAAATCGACTTTGACTCCCTTATGAGGTCTTTCTTTCTCCCCCATTCACCGTCTTGCTTCACTTCCCCACAGGCGACACTGTGAGTGCCAGGTGTAGCCTGCACACACAAGGGTGTGTACCACGGGAGAAGAAACCCCAAGTTATGAATCTTGCAGTGTCTCCCTTATGAGATCCTTTTCAAGTATAAATAGCCCACAACAATAGGACAGACGAAAGGGCAGACAAATTCTTTCCCAAGCTCACATGGACCGTAGAATGACTGTCAAGAAGTAGAACAAGTCCCATTCTTAACCACGTTCCAACATCAGTTGCCAAATGCCTTGTGGCTCTGACAATGGGGACGTCCACCAAGGCAGAAGAAACAGATTAATTAAACCCAGTACAGCAGGAGGTGTACGGCACTGAAGAAACTCACTGTGGACGATCCTCCAGCACGTTCTTGATAGGAATTGTATTTTTAACTTCTGGTTGGTGAATAACACAGCACATGGAGCCCAGGACCCAGGGCGAGGGAAGTCAAGAAACCTGTCACTGTGCGATAAGAACGGGAAAGCGACAAAAGCGGCACATGCTTTTGGTGTTTAAATTCTAGATCGAGACCTATTTTGCTTTCCACAGCTGCTCTAATCACAAACAAACGAAGGTTATTTTCACTTTAAATATTAGCTAAGGCATTTCTTTGCACATCTGAGAAACAGATGCCAGGACTGACTGCACACACCCAGAAGTACCTGGAACCGCGCCCTCCCCACCTGTCTGCTGTCCCGCTCTCTCCAGGTCAGTCACACCCAGGATCCCCCTGTCCTCGGCCAGGCTTTCAACTTTTCACAGGACGGAAGTGGCATGAAAGAAAAAAATGATTTTCAGAAGAGAATGACCTCATTTTCTTAAGAGAGCTTTCCAGCCTGTCAGATTCCTTCAAGGGTACATTTCATTTTTAGAGTAGAAATCTAACGTTTTTGAAAACAACCATAAAAATTAGAGCCTCCTGTCACTCTGAATCTTAACGACCTCTAAGGTACGCTCGGCATGGCTGATGCACCCGGTTGGTGTCCTTTCCTCTGCGCTGGGCACTAAGGGTGGAGAGAGCGACAGGCTTTAGTCCTGTCATCTATTAAATAAAGAACCATATTATTCCATTCTGATTCCTTATCACAGATTTCTGGCAGAGAGATTAAAACAATCCCTCTAGCATTTGAAGGCCACTTTCGGACAAGGATTTTTCCCTAAGATGATGCTGGCAGTTAGAGCGACAGGCAGATGTGTGTTTCCAGATCCGTGGCTGGAGAAGAATCCAGAGGTAGCACAGAGAAGAGGGGGCAGAGAGACATTGCAGTTCAACTTGATTCTGAAGAGGGGACCGAGGCCCACACAGGTCAAGAGACTTGCCTGAGGCCAAACAGGCCCAGGACAAAACCTCCTGATCCAGTGCCCCTGCCCTGTGGCCGTAACCCCCTGGGCAGCTTGGCAGACCACTGCAATTCTATCAGACACGCTGAAGCCGTGGGGGTGGCCGGGTCCTCGGGCTACAAACCATACAGCCTCTGGAGCTCACCATCCCAGGCCCGGTGAGGGCACCAAGTGCATGGACCTGGTGCCCATCTCCACACACCGAGACGCACTTTGTTCAAAAATGTGCCATCAGTATACCACATGTAGGGCATTACTCACAAGGCAAAAAGCTGATTCTCCTCTCCCCTGAGCCATTCAACATACTCACGGTGAATCACGTACGTGCCCAAGCCTGGTTAACTGCAAAACATGCGGCTCAACCAGTGGCAGTCTCATTTAGAAGACGCTGTCCATTAGCAATAGGACATGAGACACATACGTAATTTTAAATTTTCTAGCAGCCACATTAAAAAAGTATGAGAAACAGGTAAAATTGGCTTTAATATTTCATCTAACCTAACACATCCAAAATGTTATCACTGCACTTTGTAACCAACATAAAATATGAGATTTCATTCTAAATAGTATTCCCTGAGGGATCCTCCTTTTAACAGATCTTTTCTTCTGTTGTTACCAAATGATGTTAACTACTGCACCCCTCTGGCCAACATGTCCAAATTGAAAACAATGGCACCCATTTATTGGGCGGGTTACACTTACTAGATCGCAGAAAGGTACTTGCTAGAGACTCTTAACTCCCCACACAAGATGAAAGAGGCAGCTTATCCACACAGCACATAAGAGAAAACAGAAACTGCAGGAGTTGAAGGTCCCACAGCTGTGAAGTGCCAAGACAGAATGAATCCAGATCTGTGGGCCACACCCGTGCTCCTTCTAGTCAACATCTTTCTGCCCCAACTGCTTTCTTGAAAGCGCCAGCACGTGAACCATCTACATTTACTACACGTGAGAAAGATCAGGGAAATGCAACAATGTACAGTTATACCACATAAGTAACGAATTAATCCCAGGCTTAGGACCCAATCAGATTTTCTTTCTGGTATCGTATATAACACTTTACAAATCTGATCATTCTGAATATGGAGTTCTGTACTCTACTTTATTAAACAACCATATTAAAACCATTTTCTTTCTTTTTGAGGAAGATTAGCCCTGAGCTAACATCTGCTGCCAATCCTCCTCTTTTGCCAGAGGATACTGGCCCTGAGTTAACATCCATGCCCATCTTCCCCTACTTTATATGTGGGACGCCTGCTCCAGCATGAGTTGACAAGCAGTGTGTAGGTCCACACCCAGGATCCAAACCAGCGAACCCCGGGGTGCCGAAGAGGAACGTGTGAACTTAACTTCTGCGCCACTGGGCCAGCCCTGAAAGCCATTTTCTTAAGTTGTTATCTCCAAACATATGGACTTTGACAGCCATAGAGATTACATCAAGAACTCCAACCTCCCTCTCCCTTTGAACAATCACGTTCATTCAATCACTCAAAAACTACTGACTGAGCAACCAGAGGCCAGACCTTGTCATGGGTGTTAGGGACAAAGTGACGAATAGGACAGAGAGGGTCTTTGCCTCCACGTGGCTTGTATTCTAGAGGGGAAGAGGGATAACACATATGTAGCATCAAGTGCTAAAAAATAACAGGAAAAATGATAGGTGGGAGGGGGTTGTAATGCTTTTCGTCTAAGCCCATTATTTATTAGATTGAACCACATGAAATTGCTGAACCACTTCTTGACATACAGAATGGGCAATTTCACATGGTTCAACTGAATAGTTTCATTCCACTGGGCAATGATCAAGGACACTCCTGATGAACTAAAAATTATAACTACCACTTTCCCTTGTGATTTCTTCAACTACAGAAAAAGCCCAGGATCTTGGCAGTCTATTACTGTTGAAGTTTTTGGTAAAGGAACATTAATATATTACCTGTGCAATTAATTAACAAAACATCCCTTGCTCCTAAATCTACTGACAGATCTTAACATCATGAAAAGACACCCAGGCATTCTGTGCCTCCTGATACGATGCAGAAGGGAGGACGTCTGCCAAGAATTCAAAGCTGGTTCTGCTCAAGCCTCCAGAGCTGACCACTGGCTTACAGCAAACACTGAGGACAAGGGAAGACCCAAAATGACACTGAAGGATGCAGTCAGTAAAATCCAGAATGTGGGGACTCTACAGGACAAAAAGAAAAAAAGGGGGTAGAAACGTCCAGACTTTTCGAAAAGGCTTATTAATAAGCTCACATGTATAATGAGTGGATCTCCTCTGGACTCTCATCTGAACAAAGCAACTGTAAATAAAAAAAAGTCTGTGAGACAACATGGAAAAGGACAGAGCTGCCTAGACCCCCAATACTAAGGAAACACTAAGTAATTTGCTTGTTTTTAAAGAGTTCTTATATTTTAAAGTTACAAACTGCAGTGAACTGATAAATGTTAAAGCTGGGAATTAGGAACTTGAGATTTTTATTCTGTGTATGTTAAAATACTCCCACAGTAACAAACTTAAAGCAGCTCTCTGGGTCTGCCCCCTCCCCCAGGTGCCCACACATCGCCCATCGGAGCTGGGGATGCTCTTCCAGGAGCCTCAAGCCTCTCAGATGACTGCTCACCTGTCGATGAACTGGTCGATAATGACGATGTCTCCGGGCCGAATCTCCTCCCTCAAGGAACCGCAGGCGGTGGTGACGATCACGTGAGTGCAGCCTTCCTCCTTCAGAGCCCAGATGTTCGCCCGGTAGTTGACTTCTGAGGGCATGATGCTATGCTGCCTCCCGTGCCTGTGGGAGGGACAGGAAATATGGTAGGGAGTGAGAGGGCATTTTAACACTGTTAGAGAAGAAAATTAACCTACAGCAGTGCCTTCCGGCCCTTCAGCCAAAGCACTTCCACTGGCAGAGGAAGAATGAGAAGGTCGGGCAATGACTAGCCCACTGTGAGTAGAAACTACTCGGTCTTAGGCGCACGCCAGCTGTACATTCTACGGATTTATTTTCCTGTCAAGAGTAGGTAATAACTTAATCAGAATTCACTCTCCAGGAAGATGTGCTGTCTCTGTCCTGGGGGGCACCAAACACCCCAGAATCTGGGGCATCTGGCCTCACACGAGCCATGAAACAACAAGACATGCCACTGAAGAAAGATACAAAATAGAAACAGAAACTCAAGTTTCCAGCTGAATCTCTCCATTCCTTTCTGTCTGATCACCTAACTAAGTTAACGATTCATTTAAAACATTAGAGTCCCCAGTTGTTTATGATGACATTAGAAGGTTTTGTCGAAAAGCCGATCACCTCACGCGTGACCACTGTTATGGGCTGAACTGTGTCCCCCCAAACTCCTACGGTGAAGTCCTGAACCCCAGTGCATCAGAATGTGACTGTATTCGGAGACGGGGTCTTGAAAGAGGTAATTAAGTTAAAATGAGCTTATTAGGGTGGGCCCCACCCCAACACCAATGGTGTCTTCAGTAGAGGAGGAAATCTGGACACACACAGAGGGAAGGACACGTGGAGACACAGGGAGAAGATGGCCATCTGCGAGCCAAAGAGGCAGGCCCGGGACACATCTTCGCTCCGGCCCTCAGAAGGATGCAGGCTGCTGACACCTTCGTCATGGGCTTCCGGCCTCCAGAACTGTGAGGAAACAACTTCTTTCCAACCAGCCTGTGCTCCTTTATAACGGCAGCTTCGGAAAAGCTAATGAAACCACCAATGATTCCTGTCACACTTCAAATAAAATCCAAACATCCTACACCCACGGCCCTCACGCCATGTGGGCACCAGTCTACTAATGGCACCTCGGCCCGTTTTTATCCCTTCCTGTCCCAACTCAGCTCACTGGCTTCTCGCTGCTCATCCATGCTCATTCCTGCTCAGGCCTCCTCACGTCACAGCTCCAGTGTCACCTCCTCAGAGAAGCGCTTTCCATGACCACTGCGTGTAAGTCACACCACTATCCCATGACCTTGTTTTTCTTTCTAGCATCCATCAGCAACTGAAACTTTTCCTTTTCAGTGTCCGTCTTTCCCACTAGAATCAGCCCCGAGAGGGTGAAGCCCCTGTCTGTCTCCTTGCTGGTACCTCGAACAGGAGCTGCCATGTGTAGCTCAATTTTCTGGACAAACAAATGTGTTTGGTGGCAATTCTTTGAGCACTTAAACACACACACGTACACCCAGAGCATCAGTAAACAGCCAGTAAAGGGAACCCAATTTCTAAGATTATTTCTAAAATTCACACATGTTAGATGGTTACTCACAAGCAGTATTTCACAAAGAGTTAAAATTATTCTTGGCTGCTTCACAAACTACAAATATCACACATGCTGTTCTAGCACAGGCAGGCCACGTGTCAAGAGTCCAGCGTCCTTCGCATGTGGGTAACGTGGAAACAGGTTCAAGGAAGTAACTGAACACAGAAAAATCTCACTGTGTACAATGATGATTAAAAGTGTGGGCTTTGGAGTAACAGTGCCTGGGTTCAAACCCCAGTTCTGCCACCTACTAGCCGTGTGACCTCATCAAAGCCACTCAGCTCTCTCGTCTCAATTTTTTTTTCATCTGTAAAACGCATAATAAAAATACCTGCACCACAGGGTTGTGTTTAAATATCCCTTGTATCATCCCATAGATACGTTTCTTTTCTTTTTAGATTTTCTTTCTCCTTCTTCTCTCCAAAGCCCCCCAGTACACAGTTGTAAGTTTTTTTTTAGTTGTGGGTCCTTCCAGCTGTGGCATGTGGGACAGCGCCCCAGCATGGCTTGATGAGTGGTGTCATGTCTGAGCCCAGGATCCGAACTGGCGAAACCCTGGGCCCCTGAAGCAGAGTGTGCAAACTTAACCACTCGGCAATGGGGCCGGCCCCTATAGACATATTTTAAAAGAAACTTTAATGTCTTTTCTGGTCACTGACAACAAAATTATTAAAAACACTGAAATAATTTGTATAGGGGCCGGGCCAGTGGCACAGCGGTTACATTAGCACGTTCCACTTCTCGGAAGCCCGGAATTCGCCAGTTCGGATCCCGGGTGAGGACATGGCACCGCTTGGCAAAAGCCATGCTGTGGGAGGCGTCCCAAGCATAAAGCAGAGGAAGATGGGCACGGATGTTAGCTCAGGGCCAGTCTTCCTCAAAAAAAAAAAATAACAATAATAATTTGTACATAATTTCACACTTTTTACCCTGAGATCACAGACGTCCTCTCAGAAGGTGGAGGCCTAGGAACATCCAGAAAGCACATTCATTTTTCTAAGACTGGACTCTAAAAGTCAGATTAGATTTTCAAAAGAAATTCAAACATCAAAAGTAGGTAAGAACCACTGCGTTAAAGGCTCAAACAGTTCACGGGGCAACACGCTTCCATCCAGTTGGCAGGAGTATCAAACTCTCCTCATGGGGCCAGGGCCACCCCACCAACTGTTTCCTCATAGAGTCTGGAAAAAATTAAGTGACTCTCCAGCAATGACCACAGACCAACAAAGAAGGTTGCCTGAAACTGACCCCGTGTGACCATCTGAAACTAAAATTTAGTTTTACGGCATTCAGCTGAGCTTTTTGTTTTTCTTGAGGTCATCCTGGCCTAACACTGTGTAAACTTCAGGTGTGCATGATTATATATCAGTTTCTGGATAGACTGCATTGTGCTCACCAACAACAGTTAAATTTTTATCCATCACTATACATATCAGCCCCTTTATCCCTTTCTCCCTCCTCCCACCCCATTCCCCTCTGGTAACCACTCATCTGTTCTCTTTTTCCATGTGTTTGTTTATCTTCCACATATGAGTGAAATCATATGGTCTTTCTCTGTCTGGCTTATCTCGCCTAACATAACACCCTCAAGGTCCATCCATGTGGTCACAATGGCATGATTTTTCTTTTGTTATGGCTGAGTAGTATTCCATTGTATATCTACACTACATCTTTATCCATTCATCAGTTGATGGGGACTTGGGCTGCTTCCAAGTCTTGGATACTGTGAATAATGCTGCAATGAACATGGCAGTGCATAAATCTCTTCATATTATTGATTTCATGTTCTCTGGATAAATACCCTGGAGTGGGATAGCTGAGTCATATGGTATTTCTACTTTTAATTTTTTGAGAAATCTCCATAGTGCTTTCCATAGTGGCTGCAACAGTTTGCATTCCCACTAGCAGTGTTTAAGTGATCCTTTTTATCCACAACCTCTCCAACATTTGTTATTTCTTGCCAACTATAGCCATTCTGACTGGTTTAGGGTGAAACCTCCTTGTGGTTTTGATTTGCATTTCCCTAATAATTAGTGATATTGAACATCTTTTCATGTGCCTGTTGGCCACTTGTATATCTTCTTTGGAAAAATCTCTATTCATATCCTCTGCCCATTTTTTGAATTGAATTCTTTGCTCTTATTTTGTTGAGTTCTCTGAGTTCTTTATATATTTTGGAAATCAACCGCTTGTCAGGTAGATGATTTGCAAATATTTTCTCCTAGTTGGTGGGCTGTCTTTTCATTTTGTTCAGTTTCCTTTCACTTGCAGAATCAGCGAAGCCATTTCTGTTTCAAAAACGCAGTGTGGAAGAGAGAGCCTAGGGTGGTTCCCAATTTTCATGCTCTGAATAACTCCTCCTCCTCAACTGCAGGGGGACCCAAGACTCACGTCCAACCAATAGAATACAGCAAATGTGCTGGGAGTCCTCCCATAGTCAGGCTCCACCTGGCCTGCACACACAAGAGACTTCCTGCTGGCCTTAGAGAAGCAAGCTGTTGTCATGTAAACTGCCCACGGAGAGGGCCACATGGCAGAGAAAGTGGACAGCCTCTGGGAGCTGAAGGCCTCAGTCCTATAACCCCAAGGAACTGAATTCTGCCACTGAACGAGGACCTGGAGCTCAAGATGAGAACAAGCTCTTGAATGATGTTGTGTGACCTTGAACAGAGGACTCAGCTAAGCTGTAACCACACTCTTGTTCACCTGGAAACTGTGCGACAATGTATACTATTTTAAGCTGCTAAATTTGTCATAATTTTTATGCCGCAATAGAAAGCTGAAACATGTAAGTCTGACTAATTTCTGTGTGATAAAAATAATTTGCCTCCTCTATAATACGGAACAGCACTAGCCTTGTCAAGAAAACAAGGGTGTGGACACCACAGGGAATCCATTTCAGGGACCAGAAAGCCACTCTCTGAAAACTTAGAACTATTGCCACGCAAGGGGTCATGAATGAAGCAGTTTTGCTTTTATCTTGTTAATTGGAAAAAGAAGAAGGAAAGAGAAACAGAAGAAAACATTTCTTCTTGTAGCTAGAACTGAAACCAGAGCTTCAACTGTAGTCAGACTCATCTTATCACTCACTGGATTATTCTAACCACTTTCTCACCCTAAGCTGGGGGGTGGCATGGGGGGTGGGTCTTGATCTCAAAAGTCAATAAAACTTCCCCAAACCCTAAGTGGTCAATCACGGTGACTAAGATGCCCTGGCTCCAGCAACGCATAAAATCTCATACCTGCATCACTACTCTTTCTAGAATTTAACTTAACTTTAAATTCTCCTTTAGTAACATTCAAAACGCTTTAAAATAACTTAGCTTGCAAGGAGGACACAATCAATGTTCTTTATCTTCCCCAAAATTAAGGCATCAGAAGGCTGCACATAATGAAAAATGGTTACAACTCAGTGAGTTGAAAACATACATATGAACGATTAAAAAGCTGCCATTTCAACGGTTGCACCACAACAGGATTCATGGAAACTTGGAGTCTAAAGACATACTTCAAAGAAGTAAAGAGTCTGGATTTGAGGATCAACTTGATCACCCCATCAGTCCTCACTGAGCCCTCTCTGAGCACAGAGAGTCGCCAGAAGGCTGCCCTGGTGCGTGGGGAGGTCCCCTTTAGTAAGAGCTCTTTGTAGCAAGCACTCCAGGGCACTCTGATGATACGATCGTCAAGTACACATGTGTCAAGGGTATCTGGCAGGTTCAAGAACAGGTGTGAAAGTGAAACGTGGGAAGGACAGGAGGCCCTTGTCATGGAATTCAGGAACTCAGCACTGGAAGTGTGTGCCATGTTACCCAGGTCTAAGATGGCCATGCGGTGAGCTGAGGTCATGGAGGGTGAGGTCCTGAGAACCGAGGAGGTGAAGACAACGTGAGGGGAAGAAGTAAGCCGAGCTGACCGCAGGACTTGGAGGACATGAGGTCCATCTAAGGACTTGGATGAAAAGGAGAGAGTTTAGTTGGGACTGCCAGATGCAGGATCCTCGCGGGAGGATGAGAGGAGCTGCCATGTCTGGAAGGAGCACTATGGAATCAGGAGGAGGGAGACTCCCGCGCCCTGGCTGGGTGACATGTGGGCTGGAAGAACAAACAGCCTCCTTTTAACAGAAAGGAGGAGTTTTATTTCCAGTTCAGTTATGCAATCATGTGGTGGATCCCCGAGAAACCCCCCTTTGGGCAGGGCTTCCTACGGAAAGGCCGCTTGGCAATGACATTTCCTCTCATCTGTAATCAGTCTATCTGCTAAATTAGTGTGGTGTGACATATGGGCCCCAAATTAGAAGCTGATTTGGATGCAGAGACCTGAAAAGTACCGTTGCTGTGTCTGCATGAGCATCTGGCTTCCAGGGACAGAAGTTGAGAAGTTAGTGCACACGTTCAAAAGCCACGTTCTCTCCCGTATGCCCCAGGCACCCTCAGGGCCACTGTCTCAGCTGGTGGGACCCAGTGCCAGGACTCCGGCCCCTCTCAGCCTGGGGGAGGCAGCCCTGGGCTGCCAACACAATAGCAGTTATGTTTTTTTTTTTTTTAATTTTAAACTTAAAACCAAGCCAGCAAGGAGAAAGGAAAAAGCTTCTCTCCACTAACTGGAGATTAACCTTGCCAAACGGAGTATCCACATATTTTTCGGTTCTTCCTTCTAAGATTTCTGAATCATCCAGGCCTGTTCCACTAATGATTCCAATCTAGGGGAGACAAGAAAAAGATACCATATTTGATCATTTTTCATTAGAAACAAAATAATTATTTTAAGTGAATTCATTTATTCATACTAAATGCTCTTCTCCATTCTTGCTAAGCCCTGTTTTTTAAAAAATCTGAGCACTACTGAAAAACAATTATTCATTCAAGAAACATTTGAAGGGCCTCTGTATTCCAGTAATAACCAAAGTATGGGTTTAGTGGACTCATCACACTTACTGCTATTTTTTTTAATTGCAGTAACATTGGTTTATAACACTATATAACTTTCAGGTGTAGATAGTAATATATTTTGAATTCTGTGTAGATTACATCATGTTCACCAGCCAAAGACTAATTACAAACCATACCCACATGCATGTACCTAATCACCTCTTTCGCCCTCCTCCCTCCACCCTTCCCCTCTGGTAACCACTAATCCAATCTCTGTTGCTATGTGTTTGTTTGTCACTGTTTTTATCTTCCACTTATGAGTGAGATCATATGGTATTTGACTTTCTCCCTCTGACTTATTTCACTTAGCCTAATACCCTCAAGGTCCATCCATGTTGTCACAAATGGCCAGATTTCATCACTTCTTATGGCTGAGTAGTGTTCCATTGTGTATTTATACCACATCTCCTTTATCCATTTGTCCCTTGATGGGCACCTAGGCTGCTTCCAAGTCTTAGCTATAGTGAATAATGCTGCAATGAACATAGGGGCGCATGTATCTTTACGCATTCTTGTTTTCAAGTTCTTTGGATAAATACCCAGCAGTGGAATAGCTGGATCATATGGTAGACCTATTCTTAATTTTCTGAGAAATCTACATACTGTTTTCCATAGTGGCTGCACCAGTTTGCACTCCCACCAGCAGTGTATGAGGGTTTCCCTTCTCTCCACATCCTCTCCAACACTTACTGTTTCCTGTCTTCTTCATTACAGACATTCTGAAGGGAGTGAGGTGACATCTCATTGTAGTTTTGATTTGCATTTCCCTGATAGCTAATGATGTTGAACATCTTTTCATATGCCTGTTGGCCATCTGCATATCTTCTTTGGAGAAATCTCTGTTGAGATCTTTCACCCATTTTTCAATTGGGTTGTTGGGTTTTTCTGTTGTTGAGATCTATGAGTTCTTTGTATATTTTGGATATTAACCCCTTATCTGATATATGGTTTGCAAATATCTTCTCCCAATTGTTAGATTGTCTTTTCATTTTGTTGATGGTTTCCTTTCCTATGCAGAAGCTTTTTGGTTTGATGTAGTCCCATTTGTTTATTTTTTCTATTTTTTCCCTTGCCCGGTCAGACATGGTATTTGAAAAAATGCTGCTAAGACCAATGTCGAAAAGGGTACTGTCTATGTTTTCTTCTAGAAGTTTTATGGTTTCAGATCTTACATTCAAGTCTTTCATCCATTTTGAGTTGATTTTTGTGCATGGTGTAAGATAATGGTTTACTTTCTTTCTTTTGTATGTGGCTGGCCAATGTTCCCAACACCATTTATTGAAGAGATTTTCCTTTCTCCATTGTATGTTCTTGGTTCCCTTCTCTAAAATTAGTTGTCCATAAATGTGTGGATTTATTTCTCGGCTCTTGATTCTGTTCCATTGATCCTTGAGTCTGTTTTTGTGCCAGTACAATGCTATTTTGGTTACCATGGCTTTGTAGTATATTTTGAAATCAGGGAGTGTGATACCTCCAGTTTCGTTCTTTTTTCTCAGGATTCCTTTGGCTATTTGAGGTCTTTTGTTGTTTCATATAAATTTTAGGATTCTTTGTTCTATTTCTGTGAAAAATGTTCTTGGAACTTTGAGAGGGATTGCACTGAATCTATAGATTGCTTTAGGCAGTATGGACATTTTAACTATGTTAATTCCTCCAATCCAAGAGCATGGAATATCTTTCCATTTCTTTGTGTCTTCTTCAATGTCTTTCAACAATGTTTTATAGTTTTCAGTGTATAGATCTTTCACCTCTTTGGTTAAGTTTGCTGGAGGTATTTCATTCTTTTTGTTGTAATTATAAATGGGATTATATTCTTAATCTCTCTTTTTGCTACTTCATTAATAGTTTGTAGAAATGCAACTGGTTTTTGTATGCTGATTTTGTAACCTGCAACTTGACTGTACTCACTTATTATTTCTAAAAGTTTTTTAGTGGATTCTTCAGGGTTTTCTATATATAAAATCATCTCATCTGCAAATAGTGACAGATTCACTTCTTCCTTTTCAATTTGGATCCCTTTTATTTCTTTTCCTTGCCTGATTGCTCTGGCTAGGACTTCCAATATCATGTTAAATAAGAGGGGTGAATGTGGGCATCCATGTCTGCTTCCTGTTCTTAGAGGGATAGCTTTCAGTTTTTCTCTGTTCAAAATGATATTAACTGTGGGTTTGTCATATACGGCTTTTATTATGTTGAGGTATTTTCCCTTTATACCCATTTTATTTAGAAGTTTTATCATAAATGGATGCTGTATCTTGTCAAACGCTTTCTCTGTGTCTTTTGAGATGACCATATGATTTTTATTCTTCCTTTTGTTAATCTGGGGTCATGCTGATTGATTTGCAGATGTTGAACCATCCCTGTATCCCTGGAATAAATCCCACTTGATCATGATGTATGATCTTTTTAACGTATTGTTGTATCCAATTTGCTAGTATTTTGTTGTGGATTTTTCCATCAATGGTCATCAGTGATAGTGGCCTGTAATTTTCTTTTTTTATGTTGTCCTTGTCTGTTTTTGGCATCAGGGTAATGCTGGCTTCATAGAGAGTTAGGAAGCTTCCCCACCTCTTCAATTTTTTGGAAGAGTTTGAGAAGGATAGGTATTAAGGCTTCTTTGAATATTTGGTAGAATTCACCAGGGAAGCCATCTGGTCCTGGACTTTTCTTTTTTTGGAGGTGTTTGATTACTGTTTCGATCTCCTTACTGGTGATTGGTCTATTCAAATTCTCTATTTCTTCTTGATTCAGTTTTGGAAGGTTTTATGATTCTAAAAATTTATCCATTTCCACTAGATTATCCAATTTGTTGGCATACAGTTTTTCCTAGTATACTCTCATAATCTTTTGTATTTCTGAGGTGTCCATTGTAATTTCTCCTATTTCTGATTTTATTTATGTGAGCCTTCTCTCACTTTTTCTTAGTGAGTCTAGCTAAAGGTTTGTCAATTTTGTTTATCTTTTCAAAGAACTAACTCTTGATTTCACTGATCTTTTCTCTTGTTTTTTTTTTAGTCTCTATTTCATTTATTTCTGCTCTGATTTTTACTATTTCCTTCCTTCTGCTGATTTTGGGTTTTGTTTGTTCTTCTTTTTCCAGTTCCTTTAGGTGAACTGTTAGATTGTTTATTTGGGATTTTTCTTGTTGGTTGAGGTACACCTGTACTGCTATAAACTTCCCTCTTTGAATTGCTTTTGTTGTATCCCATAGATTTTGGCATGTTGTATTTTCAATTTCCTTTGTCTCCAGGTATTTTTTGATTTCTCCTTTGATTTCTTCATTGATTCCTTCGTTGTTCAGTAGCATTTTGTTTAATCTCCACATTTTTGTGGCTTTTCTGATTTTCTTCCTGTAGCTGATTTCTAGTTTCATATCTTTGTGGTCAGAAAAGATGATTGGTATTATTTCAATCTTCTTAAATTTATTGAGACTTGTTTTGAGACCTAATACGTTATCAACCCTGGAGAATGTTCCATGTGCATTTTAAAAGAATGTGTATTCTGCGATTTTTGGATAGAATGTTCTATATATATCTACTAAGTCCATTTGGTCTAACGTTTCGTTTAAGGCCAATGTTTCCTTATTGATCTTCTGTTTGGATGATCTATCCATTGCTGTAACTGGAGTGTTAAAGTCCCCTACTGTTATTGTGTTACTGTCTATTTCTCCTTTTATGTCTGTTAATAATTGCTTTATATATTTAGGTGCTCCTGTGTTTGGAGCATAGATATTTACAAGTGAGATATCTTCTTGTTGGATTGGATTGTTACCTTTGTCATTACGTAGTGCCCTTCTTTGTCTCTTGTTACAGTTTTTGTTTTAAAGTTTATTTTGTCTGATATATGTATTGCTACTCCTGCTTTCTTTTCTTTGCAATTACATGGAGTATCTTTTTCCATCCTTTCACTTTCAGTTTGTGAGTGCCTTTAGGTCTGAAGTGTGTCTCTCGTATGCAACATATATATGGGTCTTGTTTTTTTATCTAATTGGCCACCCTATGCCTTTTGATTGGAGCATTTAGTCCACTGACATTTGAAGTAGCTAGTGATAAATATGTGTCTATTGCCATCTTGTTATTTTTTTTCCTGGGTGTTTTAGTAGTTCTTCTCTTGCTCTCTTCCCTTGTGGTTTGATGGCTTTCTTTAGTAATATGTTTGATCTCTTTCCTATTACTTATTTATTTATTATAGTTTTCTGGTTTGTGATTACTGTGAGGTGCCCATATAATATTCTATGCGTATAGCAATCTATATTGAGTTGATAGTTTGTTTAGCTTGACCTCTTTCTAAAAGCTTTACTCTTACTCCCCTCCTCCCACATTTTATGTTTTTGAAATCATATCTAATCTCTTATTTTGTGTGTATCTACGAAATTACCTTCAAGTATGTAATTTTAGTACTTTTGTCTTTTAACATTCATATTATCTTCATATGTGGTTGATCTGCTACCTTTACTGTATTTTTGCCTTTATGAGTGATTTTATTGCCTGTTTTGGGGTTTGTTTTTGTTTTTGATACTTTTCTTATCCCTATTTCTGGTCTTCTCTTTCTCACTTAAATAACTCTCTTCAGCATTTCTCATAGAACTGGTTATGTGGTGATTAACTGCTGTAATTTTTGCTTCTCTGGGAAACTCTTTCTCTCCTTCCAATCTGAATGATAACTTTACTGGATAGAGTATTCTTAGCTGTAGGTTTTTTCCTTCCAGCACTTTAAATAAGTCATGCTACTCTCTTCTAGCCTGTAGGGTTTCCCCTGAGAAGTCCACCAATAGCCTTATGGGCTTTCCTTTGTATGTCACTTGCTCCTTTTCTCTTGCCACTTTTAGGATTCTCTCTTTATCTTTAATTTTGGACATTTTAATTATAATGTGTCTTGGGGTGGGCCTCTTTGGGTTTATCTTGTTTGGTACTCTCTGTGCTTCCTGCACTTGGATGTCTATTTCCTTCCTTAGGTTAGGAAAGTTTTCAGCTATTATTTCTTCAGATAGATTCTCTGCCCCTTTGTCTCTCTCTTCTCCTTCTGGGACACCTATAATATGGATATTAGTGCACTAGATATTGTCCCAGAGTTCCCTTAGACTGTTCTCATTCTGCCTAATTCTTTTTTCTTTTATCTGTTCAGCTTGGCTGATTTCCTCTAGTCTTTCATCCAGCTCGCTGATCCATTCTTCTGTATCATCTACTCTGCTATTTAGTCCCTCTAGAGAATTTTTCACTTCCCGTATTGTATTCTTCATTTCTGACTGGTTCTTTTCTATATTTTCCAATTCTTTGTTGACATTCTCACATGTTCATCCAGTCTTCTCGCAGAATCAGTGAGCACCCTTATGAGATTTTGTTTGAACTCTTTTGTCAGGCAGATTGCTTATTTCCATTTCATTTAGTTCTTTTTCTGGGGTTCTGGTCTATTCCCGTGCTTGGAATGTATTCCTTTGCCTCCTCATTATGCTTCTTTCTCTGTGCTTATATCTATGTATTAGGTAAGTCAGCTATGTCTCTTGATCTTGGAGAAGTGGCCTTATGTAAGGGATGCCTTTTGAGGCCCAGCAGTATGCTTCCCTCTCATCACCAGTTGAAATGTTCCAGGAGTGACCCCTGTGTGGGCTACATGTGTCCTTCTGCTGGGGCAGGGTTGCTCTTACTGCAGGTACCCAGGGAGTCTAGGCTTTCTCTCCCTGGCTGGCTGTTTATATGTCAGGTTTGGGTAGCCCTAGCACTGGTGGCTACAAGGTCTAATAGCACACTCCTTTTGCAGTTTTCCTGTTAATTGGGTAGGCACCCAGTGTGGCTGGTTGCTCAGGAAATTATAATTACTGTAGGCCTCAGGCCTGCAAGGCTATTGTTAGCTCTCTTAGGATTGTAGCCAAGTGGGGCTGGCCCCAGGCATGGGAGTACTCATTTGATTCAGGCTTTGGAAGGTGGGGCCAATCCCCTTTGTGGTTGTTTGTGAAGCACAAGTCTTCTGCCACTGATAAGCTCCACCCCCCACAGGTCCACACACACTGTCAACACAGTCCTGGCCCGTGCACACTTCTCGATCCCCTGGAGTGTACCCAGTCACCCCACTGCAGAGGCCCCACCTCTCCACCAACACCCCCCACAGTTCACCTAGTCTTCACACAGGCCCTGCCTCACAGAGGCAGATACATTCATCTGCTTGTGGAGGATCGAGGTACCCAGTCTATGCAGGCCAACACGTAGCCTGAGGGCTTGCTACTGGGAGTGGCCAGTCCCTAGGGTGGACTGCCTGCCCTGGCTGAGCTGGATTAAATCTGCACTCTAGTGGGTGTGGCAGACCCCTGGGCTAACAGGCCAGGGGAAGAACTCCAATTGCATCTGCCGGCATTTGTGTAAGCACGCCTGTACTAGGTCACAACAATGGCTGCTGCCAATGTCTCAGTCTCCAGAAAGGGCTCGCCTCTCACTGAGATGCACCCAGAGCCTACGAGGTGAGTCTCTTTTCACCAAAGGACTGTGCCCCACTCTTTCTGGTGGTTTTAAGTTGCTCTGAGATGGGTGAATTTGTGTGTGGGCCCTTTAACAGCTGGGTTTTTCAGCTTATGTCCAGTAGCTTTTCTAGGGGTATTCCCTGTTGTAGTTAATAGCTAGAAGGCAGATAGTATGAGTCATCTCAGTTATGCTGAGTCTGAAGGATGCTTATAGATGTAACGCACCCCCAGTAAGGTCCCCACTTCTCCAGGGAGGGCTGCGTACCTTAGAGTGGCTCCCATTCCACTGGCTATGAAGCTCTGTGGCTTGTGAAGGTGGCTTTTTTCTCTCTGGAGAGGAATTTCTGCCTCTTCCATCTCAGTCAGGACTGTCCCTTGCTGTGGGGGTTATCTTTATCCAGTTTTCAGTTCTCTCTCTGTGGTAATTTTTCCCAGAATAGTTGTAACCTGCCTGTGTTTATGGGAGAAGGTGAGTTCAGAGTCTGCCTACACAGCCATCTTGATGAGATCCCTATTGCTGACTATTTGAATAACAACCCAGAACAGAAAGGTACTTTATCTAGCTAAAGTGAGAAAACCAACATTAAAAATAAACAAACATGGTGTGGAAACTACTTTCTTACCAATTTTATTTTCTCTAATAATGGGCTATGGAATAAAGAATTTTTATAAGACTGGTATGATAGAAAATATTCAGTATATTCATTTGGTAATGATTTCTCCTCATTACTTCATCTGATAAAAAAACAGATTTTTCTTTCCTATGCCACTAAAATCAGAGTTGTAAGGGATCACAGAGAGAGCAATCTGGGATAGCAGGAAACATTAGCCTCATGTATATTTATGAAATCCACCTGTCCTTCATACACACATGTAAATATAAATAATTAAGTCAAGGGGAGTTCTAAATTTTCTTTTTTTTTTTTGAGGAAGATTAGCCCTGAACTAACATCTGCTGCCAATCCTTCTCTTTTGCTGAGGAAGACTGGCCCTGAGCTAACAACCATGCTCATCTTCCTCTACTTTATATGTGGGATGCCTACCACAGCATGGCTTGCCAAGCCGTGCCATGTCCACACCTGGGATCCAACCAGCAAACCCCGGGCCACCGAAGCAGAACGTGCGCACTTAACTGCTTTGCAACTGAGCCGGCCCCTGTTCTAAATTCTTTTTTAAGTTCAAGTGTTGTAGTGCATTTTCCAGAGATTAATTTAACAGTCCTTGTCTTCAGGGATTAACTGGAGTTAAAGAAACTCAGTACCACCCTCTAGAGTAATCTAATTTGATGACTAAGAAACACAAACAAGAACAATTACACAAATAATTAAATGTTAACTGAACTGTTAGCTAAAAATGAAATAGCTAAAATTAGGAAGGTTTCCCTAGGCTGATGCTTCCTAAAGGAGAAAGAGTAATTAAATTCTCCTGTTTAACTTTAAACATGCTATAGAGAGGACACTGTACTGGAAATCTAATGGAAAGGGAACTGAGCTTTTTTTTTTTTTTCAATGAAAAGCTTTAAATCTATTGTCACTTGAGTAAAATTTCTACTAGATGAAAAAAGTAGCTCCTTGAGAAAAAATTCTAGAGTTAAGAATTAACTGAACTGAATAAAATAATTTCCACATCAGGTTCCACAAATTGATTTACCTCAATACGTGGGAAAATGGTTACCTCTCTGGCCCTCAGTTCCTGGAAAAAGAAATATCAACAGAAGAAGAAAATAAGGGCATGTTAGTAAGATTTTACTGAAGAGCTGCTGGTTATACGATTTAGAGCTTCAAGTGTCGCCACAAGTTCCTTAAGCGGCTAATGCCGTTTGTGAAGTTGGTGCCACCTTGTGGTACAGCGTTGAAACCACAGCAGGTTGCGCGTTCTGGCCAAGCCCACATTTCTCTCCTGCCTTGTTACACCTTAACACCATAGGCCAAGACTAACCAATATCAGTTTTCAAATCAACAAGAGTGGTCACTTAAGTCAGTACATTTAAATCACGCCAATTCAGTAGATATTTCTTTTAAAAAAACACACTGTTTTGTGCAATCCTAAGCCTTCCTCTAGCTGGCTTCTCCGTTTTATCCTCCATTTCACATTCTCTGAAGCACCACAGATCACGGGGGGCCTAATGAACGGTCCAGCCCATGGCATCGCCCAGACCACAGAACCGAACTGCTGACTCTAAAATTATCTGGGATTCTGTTGCTTATCAAAACTTCTGGTTTTTTTGTTGTGTTTACTTATTTCCACTTTGACTTGGTTGATTCTGAATGCTCCCTGGGCCGTGGCCCCCCCATTCCGGATTCAGCACTAACTCTCGGACTTGTACACACGAAACACAGCCCACACCGTCTTCTGAAACCACCCTCTCGGTTCAGGAAGCATCGCAGCCGCGGGTGACAAATGCTGACCAGGGGTCCTGCCGAAGTTCAGGCCGTCGAGCCCAACCTCACGGCCCCAAGGTTCAGTCCACACCATGCTGGCTGCACGAGGACTGCATTAGAAGCTGGTACTCAGCCCTCAGCGAGGAACATGGAGTGCTGGCCACGAAAAGAAGAGCTGCTCCTGCTCGCCAGAAAGGCCAGGGTGGGGTCTCCGGCTCTGGAATTATCTGCAGGTGGGCACATCTGGTCACCCAAACGGCTCTGCTTGTTTATGGAAAACCGTATCTAGCAAGGGATACAGGACAAGTGTAGCGACTGAGTACCGCCTCACCAGGGACCTCTAACCATTTTCCTGCTGCAGAGGGAGGCCAGCAGTGCCAAGATGTGGCAATGCCGCCACCTGCTGGCCCATAGCAGAGTACGACTAGGACGAAACTCCCAAGCACGGATGGCCTAATTCTGTCCACCCCGAGCCTCCAAATTCAACAGTCAACTCAGGCCCTGCCATGGTAATAAAGGAACTGGGTCTCAGCACCCACACGTCACAGGCACTGTGCTAACCGCCTCAGCGGCCTCACCTCCTCTGATCTTCTCAACCGCCCTATAAGATAGGCCCTGCAGTATTACACCCATTTTACAGAGAAGGAACGCATACAAATCAAGACACTTCTCCAAGAACAAATCATAAGGAGCAAAGCTGGAAGAGGAACCCAGCTCTTTCACACTCACCCACGATGATGGACCAGCTCCCAACACCCCCTGGAGACCTTTATAACGTCAGACCCTATGAGAAAAGTTTCACTGTCTCCATGTACTGAGGAAACTGATGCTCAGAGAGGTCAAGTTCTGGACCAAGGTCACAGAGCAAGCACAGAAACGATGACTCTGGGCGTCTAAGTGAACCTGGAGGAGAGGGGGGTCTCCATCGGTGACGTCAGCCACACTCAGGCAGCAATGACAAGACCTTACCAGGCCTCCTGGGCCAGCAGCATCAGCCCTCAGTCCAGGCAATCCTAGGAGGCCTAGGAAATGTGTTCGAGGACCGAGATGGAATTTCTGGGCCAATTCTGCCCAGCCAGGACTTCTTCATTGCACACGATAAAGTTCTGAAACAGGGACCTCCGGTCAATCAAGGTCAGTGGCAAATTTTAACAATTAGTGGTCCATCCCACACTTTCCACTGACGGAGCACCAAGTCAATCTCCATAAAAAGAGGAGAGCGTCTGCCTTCCTCTCTGAGACCTGAAAGCATTTTGTCTAAATGCTGGCTTACCTGGCCAGAATGCGTACTTCCCGCAGTGGCGAAGGGCTCACACTAACCCCTCCCCTGCGTCTATGTCCACTGGTACCTGGACCCAGGGGATCTCACATACCTCACCTGGTTTCAGGAACCACTCACCATCACTTTGGGGCATGGACACACTACCTTAAGGAGCCCAGCACTCTGTGACTGCATTCTCAAAACCCCACACCCCTGAGCCGTGGAGACTAGCTCATGCCAGGGAGATGGCTGCCTCTGGGCGCCTCAAGCTCACGAGGAGGCAAGGGAGCCACAGCTCAAGCTGGCGGCACTCCCTGATCTCAGCATCTCAGTCCTTAGGCTCTGGTTGCCACTGACAAGTCTGGCAAGCACACAGACAAAAGGCCTTCTTCTTGGGCCGACCCGGCTTTGAGGCCTCCCAGGGCCTTGCAAAATCCCTGGAAGTCCAGCTGTATGGGGACAGAGTGGCCCAATATCCAGTCTAGGAGCCCTGTTCAAAACCTACAATGAGGGGCCGGCCCAGGGGCATAACGGTTAAGTTCGCAGGTTCCCCTTCGGTGGCCCGGGGTTCGCAGGTTCGGATCCCAGGTGCGGACATGGCACTGCTTGGCAAGCCATGTTGTGGTAGGGGTCCCACATATAAAGTGGAGGAAGATGGGCAGAGATGTTAGCTCAGGGCCAGTCTTCCTCAGCAAAAGAGGAGGATTGGCAGCAGATGTTAGCTCAGGGCTCATCTTCCTCAAAAAAATAAATGCCCTTGCTAAGTCCACGGAGATAACTGGGGCTCCATCTCTGACATGACTCCCCCTCTGTAAGCCACCCAGGTAGGTGATGGTTACGAGCTGAATTGCTTCCCCCAAATCCATATGTTGAAGTCCTAACCCCTAATACCTCAGAGTGAGACCATATCTGGAGATAGGGTTTTTAAGGAGGTAATTGAGGTTAAATGAGGTCATGAGAGGGTCCCTAATTGAAAATGACTAGTGTCCTTATAAAGGGAGATTAGGACACAGACATACAAAGAGGGAAGACCGCGTGAAGACGCGGGAAGAAGACAGCCACCTGGAAGCCAAGGAGAGAGGCCTCAGGGGAAACCAACCTTACCGACACCTTGATCTTAGACTTCCAGCATCCAGAACTAGGAGGATAAATTTCTGTTGCTTAAGCTACCCAAGCTGTGGTCCTTTATGGCAGCCCAGCAAACTAATACAGTAATGCTATGCAGTCGTGTGCCACGTAACAACGTTTCAGTCAACCACAGACCACGTATACCATGGTGGTCCCCTAAGGTTAGCACCATACGGCCTAGGTGTGTAGTAGGTTGTGCCGTCTAGGTTTGTGTACGTGCACGCTATGACGTTCACACAACAAAACACCTAATGACGCATTTCTCACAATTCATCCCCATCATTAAGTGACGCATGACTGCATTTTGTTCAGAGATAACTGAGGGCTTAGAACGTCTGTGTTTTTTACTTAACCAATCTCCTCTGGCAAAAGCAAGATATGATTCTTCCCAGTGCTCCTCCTGGGTCCTCTGCTGGATTCTAGAATCCCCCAGGATGCTGTCAAAACCAAAGCCCAGGGCCCAGATTCCAGAGAGTCTCATTAACGGGGAAAGGCAAGGTTCATGTTCTCCAAGCTCCCCAGGAGGTTCCAATGTGCAGCCAGAATGGAGCACCCCCACTCTACGGCTCAGATCATAAATTTCTAAAATCTGGGCCAGCCAAGTTTCACAGGCTGAATAATGGCCCCTGAAACAGGTCTTACCTGCATCCTAATCCGCAGAACCTATGAACATTACCTTATGTGATTAAGTTAAGGATCGTGAGGTCCAAATTATCCTGGATTATGGGGTGGGCCCTAAATGTAATCACAAGTCCTCATAAGAAGGTCAAATGAGGAAGAAGGTGATGTGATGTTGGAAGCAGAGGGATGTAAGGCAACGTGATGCACGCTGTGAACAAGGGGATGCTGGTGACCTCTAGAAGCTGGAAAAGGCAAGGAAATGGATGCCCTGTTAGATCATCCAAGAGGACCTGCCCTGCTGACACCTGATTGTAGCCCTGTAGGACTCATCCTAGACGTCCACCCTCCAGAACTGCAAGAGAGACATTGCACTGTTTCAAGCCATCCAGTCCGTGGTAACTGTTACAGTAGCCACAGGCAACTAGGACACTAGAGCTCCCCTGAGGAGCTGGGGGAAAATGCAGACGCCCAGCCTTTTCAAAGCTCCATGGTCAGTGGGGGTCACGCTCCCATGGGCATCTGACTCCACTGAGGCTCTTTTTCAAACCCAGACCCTGGGCCCCACGCCCCAGAATTTCTGATTCAGCAGGACTGGGGTGGGGCCCGAGAATCTGCATTCTAACAAATTCCCAGGTGGGCTTGGAGAACCACCGCTGTAGATGCTTCTGAGGCACAGACCAGAATGCCACGATCACAATCCCAGTGAAGGACCTGGAGTCCATTGCACACAAAAGTTTCTATCACCTGTTTCCTCATCTGCACCTAGAAGGGGAAGATTTTTCCTTAATTCAGAGAATTGTGAACATCAAATGACATAATGCATTATTACCTGTCACTGTTTCTGTACACACTCCCACCTCCAGCAAAACCTAACCAAATCAAAATGCACTTCCTCAAAGCAACAAAAAACGCCCCTTATCTCTTTTTTTTCTGCTGGTGAGCACGCAAACCTGGCTGCTCCAACATCTCCTCTCCGGGCTGTCTCTGTCTCGGGGATTTAGGCCAGGGATCTCACCTGAGCGTGAATCAGCTCTCCTGGGGGTGTCTGGAAACCCAGGGGACATTTCTGGCTGCCACCACGACTGGGGGAGTGCTACTGGCATTTTGTGGGGAGGGGCCAAGGATGCACCATCCATCCTGCAAGGTTCAGGATAGTCCTACAGAAGGAGGAAGGTCCTGCCCTAAATGCCATTGTGTCCCTAGGCAAAAGATGAAGGCTCATTGGTCATCTGGTTTCCAATTGTGGCCTGTGGGTTGTCCCCCAGGTTCAGAGGGTCACTGAAGGACTTTCATTCTGAAGGCCTTTGCTGGCTACAGACAGCCAGCCAAAAAAAGACCTTACAAGGCCTGTTCTCCAGAGTCTAGACTCCACGACTTGCCCCTCCCCCTTAATACCATTTCGTGAGAGCCCCCTACCCACTGATGAGGGGACCATATCCCCTCCTTGCCACAGCACCAGGATTACATCGTATTTGTTTTTAATCCTCCAGAGCAAAAGATGGGCAGCTGCCTGGCGGAGCCATAGCCAATTGAAGGAACCCTCAGAATGCCCTGTCCGGATGCCAAGGATAGGTTCACCCTTCTGCGCAGTGAAGCACACCACCTGCCCATGGCTGATGAGGACGACGCCTCCCTGAGGTCCACCCAGAAAACGGCTGTTCTCAACACCACGGGAGAGCGCCCCATGGGCACAGGGAGGCAGCCTGCTTTACGCCCTCACTCCACACTCCCTCTGCCTTAAGGCTGCAGGATCTCCTTACTCCACAACGAAACAGAGCAGAGACCACAGGGCACATTTCAGAAATGCCTCAGAACATCCAGCTGGTGGAACGCCAGGCTCTAGGCCCAATTCTGTCACTATCTAGGGCCAACTGTGTAAGTCTGGACACCTCAGTCGACCTATCTGGGCCTCAGCTTTAAGTCCACAAAAAGGGGTTTGTGTGGCTATATGGTCTAAGGAACGTTCCAGCTCTACGTTCCACGATCTGAGGATAGGATATGGCTTCTATAAGCCTGCTTTGCTCTGGACACTGGCACCTCATGTTTTCTACGTGGGATGTTGGCTCAGCCATCGGGGGACTGCAGTTGGCATCATGGATTCTCAACAGCAAAGCAGTCTCCTTCCCATCCTCAGAGACAGAAAGCAGCAGGCAGGCCCGGCACTACGTGGACCTCAACTTTATAGTGAGTGGCTCGCCAGGACCAAAAATCTGCCTCCTTCAATATTCACCTCGGGGCTCGACCACAGCGCCCACTCTGCACTTAGTGCACCAACCCAATATCACAGGGCCCCTGGGTGCAGGGAGAATGAGGAACCAGATTAAAGCGACACTGTCATAAATAGCATCCCTCTCTGTTTTCAATATCACTTGAACTGCATTCCCGTAAGGGACAGGTCAGAGTTTCCTGCTTGCCCACTGAAGGCTGGGGGCTCATGAGACCTATCATGATCATTCAATTGTTGGAGAAAAGATATTCAAAATTACTCTCAGCTCCCCCACTTAGAAGCACTACCATTTAATAAGTTTCAACCACGTGCTGGGCAGACAACACAAGTCTAAACGTCCCAGCAAACCCTACGGTAAAACCCCCACTTACAGATGGGCACCTAAGGACCTCGCTTCCTTTGCACAGGAGCTTCATAAAAACGCTTTCTGCCTTGTTCTCAGTGACTGGTGAGGGAACAGCGTTCCACCAATATCTGTTGAATGCAAGATCCTTTTCAAAATGGCAAAAGGAGTTTCATATGGAAGTGTGACTGCGACCCCCCCTTCTCCCCCTCATAAGTGTCTCATTAAGAGCTGCAAGGACCTAATAAATGAATCCCTCTGGCTCATTACACGCTGACCCCAGAGATTTGTCTTCTCCCTGGAGAAGTGAACACAAAGCGGGGAATCACAAGAGATTCCCGAGAAGGCGGTGGACCTTCCTATCCCATCCGCCAAGAATTTCTCAAGTTTAAGAAGTAAGGTGGTTCTTAGCCAATCACAAACAGCCTAGAAAAGATCTGAAGATTGATCACCAGTTCTTTCCTTGGCTCTGTGACTCTTCACTCCTTCCCAGGCACCAACCAGGAAAGAAGTGTTTGTTTAAAAGCCCCAGGGAAGCTCGCGGCTCCCTTCGGGACTCACGCCCTCCTCTGGCCCAAGCTCCCACCGCAGGCGATCCCTTGTACGCAGACCTCTGAGGTCCGAGGGCACAAGAAAACTGACTTCTAACTTTCCAGGTTGCAAACAAAGCAGTTTAAAGCCAGAGTCCTCCAAACAGGGAGGAGCCCTGGACTGTCTTCCACTTCGGTGCTGTAAAGAAATCTCAGAATCCCCAAAGCATTGCGCTGCAGGGGAAAACCTCAGAACAGAAAAGGGCTACTTGGGGAAGGAAAAAAAACACAGGCGGAAGCTTGCAAAAGAGCAAGCACGCAGTTCTCCCACGTGGTCCGCGGGGCAGGGAGCCTAGCAGAGCGGAAGCGTGAAATTGGCAGCGCTCAGGGAGAGGGTCTCACCAGCTGCAGGCCCCCCTCACCTGGCACAGGTACTAGCCTCAGCCAGGCGCATCTCCCCGGAAGGGAGTGGCGCCTGGGAAGGGTTGGGGGCCGGGCGCAGCCCCCAGACTGCTGTCTCCAAAGGGCCAGCCCACGCCCTGCCTGGTGCGGCTGCAGCTGTGCGACTTTGCAAGCGTTCCCTGTCCCCTCGCTCCCCGCCCCGGCGGGAACCGGCCCGGGATGCGGTGCCCCAGACCCTCCCCGCCGCAACGAGGGCGCACAGACGGCGCACGGCCCGGAGGCGCGATCCCCCGGGGCAGGAACGAGAGAGCACAGGGCAGGGCGGACCGAAGCCGCCGGCAACGCTAATCTCACCTTCACGGCCGTGGAGTTGGCACCTGGGGCCATGTCTGCGCTAGGAGGGCGCGGTGGCCTCGTCAGGCGCAAGGAGCAGGCTGCGGTGGCGGGTGCGCGTGGGGCCGAGAAGCACAGGGGGGCCAAGGCCGCAGCGCCGGACACAGCCAAGCGGAGTCCCCGGACGGCGCTGGCTCCTCCTCTTCCTTCCGGGGACAGCTGGATTGGCTGCTTGTGTGGCATCGCCCCCGCCACCCCCGTCCTCAATTTTGCGTTCCGAGTTCCAGGTTCCCAAGTCCCGCTGCTTGGGCAGATTTTTCCGGTTCTCCGTTGTCTGTTTCTTCCCACCCCCGGTTATAACTAACGGGTCAATGATGATAATAACGGAGATGGTTTCTTGAGCGCTTGTGTTGTCCCAGACTCTGTGCTTTGCACTTTGATCAGCCCTGTTAACTTTCACGAGAACCCTACAGCATTAGCTGGGTCCAAGGTCTTGTCTGTAAAATCAGGTACATCTACCTTCCAGAAGTTCTCACGGAAGGGAGATTCCTCCAGAAGAAGGAACTGGCGGTTCCCGAAGGTTCCCTCCAGCTGCTAACCCGGGGCGGGACGCGGTTTGCTCTTCCTACCACAGTAATTCGACCGGGGGGTTTGCTCCTTTGCCTGAATTCCTGGAGGACAGAGCAGGAATGGGGTTGACCCGAGGCTCAGGAATGACAAAAAGGAAATAGAGTAACATGTTGCTGGGTAAACTTTTTGATTTACCAACTATGGCTTACTCATCTTCAATTTGGGAGGAGGCTTTTAAAGGGCATGAGACGCTGCCTCGCTCACATCCCCGGCTATCCTGAACCCCTCCCACCTCGGACAACGGCCCAGACACCTAGGTTCAGAATCCAGAGTCACATTTTCATCATTCAACACTGGCTGGTCACCACCATCCCGCCCCCTGCCCCAAACGCACGCACACGCACACACACACACACGCAGACACACACCCCAACACCACCACCAGCCCTCCGCTGGGATAATCCCTTACTCTCAAAATGCCCATCCTTTCCCTACTGGGATAATCCAATTTACCCTCCTTTGATGGATTAAGCTCTCCTAAACAGAATGGGTGAGAGTGATGTTCTGAGATGCAGAAATGTTGCGGATTACTCTGGGGGTGGGAGCATGGCTGTGGAAGTGAAATGAGAAGGAAAAAGTTAAAAAATCTTCCCCAGAGCACAAACTTTGAGATGAGCTTTGCTAGCGGCGTCTGGGCATATTCAACGTAATCAACTGTTGTTTAAAACTAACCAGGTTTTCTGTCCCTCCTTACTATGTGAGTGAGCTGTCTTTCCCAGGAAGTCAAGGTCCAAACATCAAGATCCAGCCTCACTAGGCCAAATGCAGGCTGAAGACGAAAACTAAAGAGAAAAGTCCAGACAGTCAAGGGAAAAGAAATTCAGGCTTCAAGGCTGCACGCAGGCTGGTGGGAAGGCGCCAACCAGCAAGCCCTTCAGGGACGTGGTTTTCTAGGAGCCGGTCTGCTGATCGCTGTGTTGGGGAGCAGGAGACCCGTTACTCACAGGGGAACCACTGCAGGACACAGGTACCCTCAGTTTTATTGTCGCTTCCTAATTATGGGGTCTTCACCAACTTACATGCTTTGATGTGACCAGCAAGTCCAGTTTCTACTCGGCACGTTCTCTTGCCAAAAGTTAGTCCCTGTAACAAGTGAGAGCCTGTGAGCCTTAGAAGACCCCTACGCTGGAAGGAGTTGGGAACTCAGAAGGGGCTAAACTGGACTTCTGGACTTTTCTGCCATAACCTTCAGGTCAGGGATCAAGCACTTGTTTTGATTATGTGATGTGTTTGAAGGGAAACTTTTCCCAAGTCTGGTTTGGTTTTTTTGAGTGATGTAATTGACAGCCATTTCTGGAAAGAAATTTTCAGACAAAGCATTTCCAGACAAAATTTAAGCAATTTTCTAACCTCTTCTGAGAAACCAGACACCCACCCACCAGCTGCTGTCAGGCATTATTTTGTTCTTTTGTATGGGCTGTGTCCTTCGAGACCAACTGACCCACCTCCAAGGGGACTCTCGCAGTTTCCTTCATTGTGCATCGTGAATAAAAGCACACAAATACTTAGACACGTGGCATGGCCAGCCATAAGGGATTCGAACTCACAACAGCCCCTACAGGGTTCTCTTAACGAGTCCATTTTAGAAGAATGTGTCCAAATAAGTTTTCGGAAACTTAAACACACAATATTCAAACAAATATACAGTCAGCCTGTGTCAGAGCTGTATTTAACTCAGTAAAGGCACCAGCGGGATGGCCAAGCTGGTTCAAAGAGGATGTAAGAAGCCGAAATACCAGAAAAAAGAATGTTAGCATGAGATGGAAAAATTAGATGCAAAACTGATTTTTGTTTCACAAGGCAATAAAACTGTAGCCCTTTTGGTTGTCTTTTCTGTGAACAGATACCATGTGCATCTTTAACAGTGAAAAAAATGCGTAACTTCTCAAACAAGATATCTGACGCCCGAGTCTGAACCCTTCTCAATAAGAAGTAATAAAAGTTACAGCTTAGGTAAGGGGTCAGCAAACCTTGCTTACCAAGAGGCAACAACATAGGAGTGTGTGAAGCTCGGGCACGTAGGCAATGTCTAGTCAAATGAGCGTGGCTGTATTCCAGTACAACTTTATGGACACTAAAACTTGAATCTCACATGAGAAAACATTTTATTTTCTTTAGATTTTTTTCCCAACCACTTAAGACTGTAAAAACCATTCTTAGTTTGAAGCTCTGAAGAAACAGGTGGAGAGCTGGTTTGGCTGAGGACATGGGCCATTGTTTTCCACTCTCCTTCCAGAATCAGATGGCTGTTGGGTACCCTTGTTGGACAATGCTTTAATGTGTCTTTGAAAAGACAGACAATAGTCTTTTTGGCTTATTTCCAAGTTTTGGATAATTTTTTCATAGCAAGCCCTAGAATAAAAGGGGGACAAACTTTCTAACAATCAGTGGTCTCCCTTTTTGCTTGGTCTGAGGAATCTTCAACAGGACAACAGAAGGATCTAGAGTCTCTCTCTGAGAGTAGCATCTTGCCCTTCCCTTCTGTTCTTGCCCTATACATTCCCTCTGATCACCTGTACCCTTGTTTTTCTGAAGACAATTCTAAGAAAGGACTCAGGCCACCTTACAAAAATTCTAATTATGAAACTGTATGGATATTTCAGTCGCTTCCTCTTTTTTCAGATAATCCCTCATACATACCTCCCCAACTTGCAGCTCCTAGCCAACAAGCTGCTGAGCTGGTGTTGCCAATAGCTGTCCGTTTCAGGTCTCAAGCAATGATCCATCAGTGTCCCACAGTTGCCTTGGAGGGGGAGAACCTACGATAATTTATGTCTTTAAACATGACTAAATTGCACGCTAATTTTGAAGGCTTCTCCAGATCATTCCAGGATCATCAAATATTCAAGAGGAAATACTCATACAAATGTATGAAATGTATCATCTCAGCCAAGCATATCAGCTTTCCCACTGAGTGGTCCCGTCTCTCCTCCTGAATGTGTCAGGCCTGGACGGGTGCTACAAAGTTAGCCCAAGCTGGTTGGTAACCCCTCCTCAGCTAGGTGTGTTAAAGCTGTCGAGTTGTCATGGCTGAAGTAACGCATATAAGTCCACACCACCTTATAGAAATTTGGGCCAAAATAAAAATTCTAAACAACCTGGTCCTTGCAGATTCTCGATAGCGTGTGACTCAGATCTTGTTATGATACTCCCGTATCACAGGAGTTGCAGTGAGTAGGGACATTTTGGCCACTACTTTGTCAGTGGATTAGAGTCTGGCATTGGAAGCTTAGGGAAAAAGATGAAAGTTCTGGTAGCAAGTAGCCACTCTGGATACAGCAGAACACTGTCAACAAAGTATCTTAAGAGGACAGTAAGAAAGTTAATAATAATAATAATAATAAATGTAAAAAATGTTTCCCCCCTTCAAATTCCTAGCCAGGCAAGCCCAGGAAGGCATAAAGACCCCAGAGATGTCTGCACTGGTGTAAATCCAGGTTCAAAAACCTCACTGGCATCATTGCACACAGTGTGGTCACTAGAAAAAAGATTACTCCCAAATAGACACAACAAACCTTAATAAAATTGTATCCAGAGAAATTTTTCTACAGAAAGTTGTCAAAATAAGTAACTTCTCTTTACCCTGCCTCTAGGGGAAAGAAATGGATTTAAAAGGAAACAGTGGCTGGTGTTTATTAGGATAGAGAAGAAAAGATATAAAAATATGTACCAGGCCAGCCTGAAGGTAACTTTCTGTTAAAAAAATTAATATTATTTGGTAAATAAATAAAAGATTTATCTACAGTCCAAGTTCTTTAACTCTCCTGATTGTGGTAAATAACTTAATGAATTATTTTATTAGTTTTTGAAAAAGTAAAACTGTGTGTTTTTTCTGACACTATACAGTATAGGCCTAATATCATTTAACATTAACATTTTAGTAACTAGAGAATTGGGTTTATTTTGTCACAGAAAGCCTAATTAACTGGACCTTCTTAAATTTCTTATACTTGCCTTATAGTTCAGTAAGTGATTATTACTTAGACTGAAATTTTAAGAAAATAAGAAAAAGAGAAAAGAAAAATGCTCCAATCTACTCTTACTGGAGTAAAGACCCACAGTAATGTCATAATCAAAGAAAACATTACTTAAGTCTAATTTTTGCAATACATTTATTGCAGAGTACTTTATAGAGGGAATTAGAAGTTAACTTTCTCAAAAAATATTTACAGCAAATTTTAAGGGCGATTCCTTATATAACCTTTAATAAGAGTGGAGTGTCCAAGAATAAAATATGACGTGGCATCTGTATTTCTGGTTGAGGGCAGAGCCACTTGCTTTGAATTGAGATCACCAGGGTCGGTTGTGACCATCTGTTTTGAATGTGGTGAGCTCCAGATAGTTGGAGATTCCCCGTATTGAGATTCAGTGAAGAAAAATCTTGTCCAACTTTCCACTCTCCCTATAACAATGCTGTGCATTAAGAAGATATTCTGGTTGACAGAATGGCCATCTTTCCTGGAATCCTAGAAGCCTCACATCCTTTGAAATAGATATTATTATTTCTATTATAGGACAAGCAAACTACAAGATGAAGCCTAAACCCCACACCCCTCCCTTGGTGAAGGGAGAATGTTCAGCCTTGCTCTAAGGAGACACGGGCCTCACTTTCTGTCCTCCGTATAGAAAAGGACCAAGAAGTTAGAGATACTCAGATGTATTTTAACTTTACAGTTGAAACATAATCTGCTCTGCTCAGTACGTCAGGACTGAGCTGTGATGGTGTCATGGACGGAATGTTTGTGTCCCTCCCACATTCGTGTGTTGAAACTCTAACCAGCAGCGTCATGGTATTAGGAGGTGGGGCCCTTGGGAGGCGATCAGGTCGTGAAGGCGGAGCCCTCGTAAATAGGGTTCGTGCTTTTACGAAAGAGACCCCAGAGAGCTCCCTCACCCCTTCTGCCATGTGAAGACACAGCGAGAGGAGCGCTGTCTGCGACCCAGGAAGAAGGCCTTCACCAGACGCTGCGTCTGCCAGCACCTTGATCTTGGACTCCAGCCTCCAGAACGGTGAGAAATAAAGGCTTGCTGTTAAGCCACCTGGCCCGTGGTGTTTTCTTATAGCAGCCCCAACTGACTAAGACGTTGAGAGACTCGTAAGACAGGCCCTTGAGTGGCCTCTGCTCCTCATTCTACTGTTAGAACTTAAGGCACACCTGTGGGCAGCAGAGAAAAATTAAAATAGAAGAAATAATGTAAGAGCATTTCTTTCTTTCCTTGCTAAATCCATGTGTTGTCTGCAAATAAAGACTTAAAAATAAATGGGAATGGGGTCATGGTTGTCTTCTGAGCATCTTCAAGAGCAACATTAAAAATAGCTAGTATTTACTGAGAACCATATACTCTTCGTTTAACCCTTACAGCCACCTTTCCACCCGGGTGCCGCTCTAATCCCCATTTTTCTGATGAGCAGACCAAGAGAAGTTGAGTCCTTCTCACCTCTCTTTTGTGCTTATTGCTTCTTTCAAAAGCTTCCTTGTCTTTTTGGGCCCTTGTGGTCTTTCCTCTCTCCTCCCCACCAAAAAAAATCAATCAAACCTTTCATTCCTGCAAGTTGTAAATGTCCAATATCAGCTTAAAATGTTACCTCTCCCAGGGGTCCATGAACTTTACAGAGATGCAAACAAACTAAGATAATAAAACTCAAGGTGGAATGTGATGCTTGAGAAGCGCATAGTAGGTGATATTATCACTATTATTGCATGAGACTCAGCACATTTGAAGTCTTCTCAAACTTATGTAACTCGGGTGATCGGGATTCAGTCCTAAATCTGTCTTAACTACAGAGTCGGATCTCTTAATTACTATCTGTTCTTCCCACGGTGTGCTGGGCCTCAAGCTAAGTGCCGAAGACAGAAAGATGTATGGCCTATACACTCTGAGCCTATATGGAACTCCCAGGTGAGAGGAGTCAGAAAGAGAAGTCAGATGTTAGGAAAGTGTGCTGAGCATGAGGTTAGAGACTGCCACTCAGGACTGTGAAAACACAGAGCAGGGCACGTTTCCTGGTCTTCCTGGAGAAAGTGATATCTGAGCTGGGTCTTAAGGGATGAGCCAAGAAGTTAGGGAGTTGAGCAGCGTGTCTGTGTGTGTGTGTGTGTGTGTGTCTGACAGAGATAGAGGGAGAAGATGTATGAAGGAAACTGAAGTTGCTGGAGAGAGTAGTTCAGATAATTGACCATGATGTAGCCCATTAAAATTAGGAATAAAAATGATTGATCAGATTTGATTATTAGGAAGTTGTTGGTGACCTTTATCCTTAGCATGAACAAAAATTTATCATTTCAGAGCCAGAAAAAAATGTGAAAAAAATACCAAAGCCAATGAGATGATATGAAAATGACGTCAGAGCTGTGGCTGGTCAGAAGCATTAAAAGGAATCCAGGATGTTGGTGGTGGAGAATTCAATCTACTCAAATCAGACAACAAAAGGAAGCAAGGAAGAATTCAGTAAGAACTCAGTTGGTATAAATCACAAAATCCCTATGAAGGATATAAGCCTGAAGTCCCTGGGTGACGCAGCAATTGTAAAGGGACCTCGCAGGTCTACCGCCAGCACAGATGGACTCACTCAGGAAGCAGGGGATTCTCCGGTCCTGGGACCTGGTCTGAAATCTCTGACCTATATGGTCATATTGTGGTCACGGACACTGACCCAGGAAGCTCTGCTCACCCCAGTTGTAAACTGCTCCCCGTGCTGGGATAAGTATGGGGTGGTATGAGGTGGTCTGGTGTGCGTGGACGATCCTGAGATCCCTGATAGAAATCAACTAACTCATTTGAATTATTGTTAGTGTTCCCACTTTCCATCTCAAAAGTGTCCCAGTTTATGGGGCCAGCCAGGTGGTGCAGCGGTTAAGTTCTCACGTTCCGCTCCGGTGACCCAGGGTTTGCTGGCCTGGATCCCGGGTGTGGACATGGTACCGCTTGGCAGGCCATGCCGTGGTCAGCGTCCCATATATAAAGTAGAGGAAGATGGGCACGGATGTTAGCTTAGGGCCAGTCTTCCTCAGCAAAAACAGGAGGATTGGCAGCAGATGTTAGCTCAGGGCTAGTCTTCCTCAAAAAAAAAAAAAAGTGTCCCAGTTTAGAAAACAAATTTTATGGTAACCATTGGTAATTGCCTTACAACCTTAAAAAAGTTTTGAATTAAATAAAGAAATGAAATAAAGCAAGCATAGTATTAATACCTTTGTGGTAAGCTTAGGGTAAAGCTCTGTATTTCTTATTTAGACTCTGTAAAGTATATAAAAATACATAGAATTTCACAGATTATCCTTGTAATTCTAGTTTAATGAGCAATTAATTTTGATTTGAAGCCAAAAGCCAAAGATAATTTGACTATAAGTTTTTACACAATATCAGATTGTATATTTTGTACATTTAATCAATCAGTATTTCTTTCCATTGGATGTTCATGTCTTTTCTAGCTGTTTTATGTGAGTATTTGTATAAATAGAATTTTTTTCCTAAAGATAATTTTCTAGAAGTGGAGATGAGGAATCAAAAGGAATGGGCAATTTATACTGAGTCAAATTATGGGAACTACTGCCACATTGCACTACCTGGGAAGAAAATGAAATTGTCAATTTCCTACACACTCACCAATAATAAGTATTACATTTATAAATATAAATTCCATTTTGTAGTTAATTTGCATTATTTGACGACCTGTATTTTTGAGCTTTTTCTTAGATGCCTGTTGGCCATTCATAGTTCAGTGTTTTGATTTGATCCATATTCTAAACTGAAAACACATTTAACAGATGGATACATGTGTAAATACTTCCCTTTAAACCCCAATTTTAAATCCTAGTTCTACATAAATAGTCAGCTATTCTTTATAACTTGAACTAGAAAGAAAACTCATTATCTGACAGGACTTTTATTGAAATAATATCTACCATGTCAATTGCATTACAATTACATGTCAATTGTATTATTAATTTAATCTCCAAAACAAATCTATAAGATAGAGATTATTGTTCCCATTTTATAGAGAAGAAAATTCAGGATTACGGAGTGTCAAGTTACTTTCCACAGGCTGTATATATGTACTAGATGATCGGGATAGGATTTTTAACTTTTAACAGTCAAACTCCTTAGTGTATCTATCTTAAAATGGTGAAATCTGACTTCATACCTACTTGACAAACCTGAATATTCTCTGACGTTTCTAATTTTTTAATAAAGTGATAAGAAAGAAAAACTTGTTTTTGACTTTATGACCTTAATAAATTGAATATTAAGTTTAAAACCAAATAGCTTTTAAACGCTTCTTTATACATACGGAGCCCTCACTCCTGGAATATTAAACATAAAACTAAAAAACTCACATTGATTATTCCACCAAGGGCAGAAACTCTGGCCAGATTGAAGAGCATGAGGAACAGTCTGGAGGTGAGGAAAAGAGAGAACAGACACCTCCTTCATGAAGTTTGGATGGAAAACGAGAAGATGTTGGGACATGATAAGAAGAGGATAGAAAGTCAATGGTTATTTTCTCCCCCTTCCTTTTAATGATGGGAGAGCTTTGAACATGTCTGTAAGCAGAGGGGAAGAAGTTCAAACTGAAGAAAAAATGGAAGACACTGATAGAGAGGGATAGCTAAGAGGGCAGGATCCCAGAGAATCTTAGGGGGATGGAATTATAAGTACTCACAGGAGCATTGTCCTGTATCAGAGGATGGAGACGTGGGTCTGCAAGAAAGGAAGAATGGGCTCCAGATAAATTTAAGAGCGGGTGTTGTGAATCTATAGGAGATCACTCCTGATGGCCTAATTTTTTTCTCAGCAAAGTAGGAGATGGGGGTTACAGATGGGTTTGGCATGATTGTGATACTGTGTCAGATTAGGGACCATGAATTTGAAGTGGTACCAATCTGCAAGGGTATACAGTTCTCTGCGATAGGCCCCTACTGACTAATTAGATAGGACCTCAAGGAATGGAGGGCGTCAGGGAGGTGAGTTCATATTATCAACCATGGGAGTCCAGCCTTAGAGGGAACAAAGAGGCCTGAAGGAGCTGAGTGATGGGTGAAAGTAGGGGATCAAGGAACTAGAATTCTCAAAGAAGTCCAAGAGGAGTGATGGCAGGGTGAAGAGGTGTGAAAGATGGAGGGAGGGAAGGTCCTGGAGGGAGATATTAAAGCTAAGGTTTTAGAAGAACAGTAACCCTAGGCTATGGCAAGTTCAAGGGAGTGAACAACTGAATCAGATGATCAGATAGGATGGAAGGTGTGTTTTGTGTGTGTTGTCTGCATTCATACTGCATCTCCTGGGACTGTGACAGGGCTTAGGGTAAGAGGAAGATGGTCAGGAAGGATCCAATTGCTGGAGGGGCTGGCAAATCATAGGCACAAGGATGGCAGAGATACCACAGGGTTGGCAGAGACGTCACAATAGTGATAGTTTTATCGAGGTCAGGGAAGCAAACCATCCGGAACTGGCAGTGAGGAACCGGGGGAACGCCACCCTTCCTCACGATCCCATAGTATACGGAGAGGTACATCAACCTCCCCACGAGAGGGCTGTGGAGGGAAATGGTTGACTAGGTTTCAGTCAAGGCAAGGAGGTGGAAAGAGGGATCTGGAAGGAGGTTGAGGTTGTGGAGGAGCTTGTTAATAATTAAACGATCATTTCCCAGGTGCAGTGGGAAATGTGCTTATAAAGCGCTGAGAGGAAATGGAAGAGGGGACTTCTTGATCAGCTTGGTAGCTTGGGAAGAATCAGGACAAACTTCTGAGAAGAGGGGCTGTGTGACGAGGGTCCTGAGAGACAGTTTCTAGTTAGCAAGGTCAAGGGGGAAAGGAGGAGGAGGGAATGGTAAGCACCAAGTTTCAAGTGGAGGAATGGTGTTTCCTGGAGATATGGCACCTCTGTGGTGTGTCATCAATGGCTGTGGTATTGCCACCAAGTGGCTGAATTGAAGAGTATGCATCTGATCCAACTGTGAGAATAGCTCTTGCTGGCCAAATGGGACAGAGGTAAGAGGAAGGAAGCATGGTGTTGGTGAGAGTTTCATGGGCCTCCCCAGAGATCTTGCACCAGATGCTAAATTTCATTCTGGATCATCTTCTCACTAGTCATGGACTCTTCTTGTCTTGCCTAACCTCTAACCTTTTGTGTTTGACCTAATTCTCTTGTCTTGTTGAAAGGTGCAAATATTGCTTTCTCTAATGACTTTGGAGTCTTGAGCTTTTGTGGTTTCAGCTGTGTTCCAGGAAGAAACTCTAAGCAACAACTGCCCTGGACCCTGCTGCTCTGAACTGGCCCAAACCAGCCCAGACCACAACCATAAGAATGACACCTGAGCGGACAGGCAGAGTTGTACTAAAGTAACCTGCCTCATTAACATCATAAATTCTCCTCCTCTAGAAGGGGCGAAGCAGCCATTTTTAGAACATGCAATATATGTAAAAGCATGATTTCAAACCACACATGTGCAAGCTTATGCTCACCTCTACGTGTGATGATGAAACTTGCCGTTTGAATATTCATTCCCTACCCCAAATAAAGGGATCCATATTCCCATTCTCGGGGAGCCATAGCTTTGTGAAATTATTTCCTGTGGTCTCCATTTTCTTTGCTGCATGCCACAAATAAAATTTCTGCTTTGTGGGACAACTACTTCTGGTGCAGTTTGATTTAACTTGCCAAGAAGAGGACACACATTTGTTCTGGTGATAATCTGACAATAATTGCCAGAATTAAGTGAAAACATCAGACACAAATCTTGTTCCAAAAGGAACTTACTCCTGCTAAACTCATCTAGCTCTTTGTTAAAAAATTTTGTGCTTATAGTGGATTTAAAATAGAGAGGAAACAAGTTGTCCTCTGTGTGCTGTCATGCCTGGATTACATCCTGTTCTCTGTACCTGCCCATTGTCTCCACCTCCCCTTCCCTCTCCTTGCCTGTCCATTCCTTCTGTTCTTTCTCTCTCTCTCTACCTCAAACTATCATTAAGCCCAGGCATCACAGATGTGGTACAACTGAACTGATAGATTCTGGGCACACTTTAAAATAGATTTTCATGTAATTTTGCTTTGAAATTCTTTTTCTTTCCTTGTGACATTGGTCAGTTTTGCGTCCCAGTCATGTTGCATAAAGCATGGTTCATAGGTGCCTAGTATGGCTTATATTCATTCACTGAATTAATAACTGAGTGAATGACTATATGAATGGAAGAACACACGCATTAATTAATTCTATTTTTAGTTTCAGCAAAAGAGAATGAAAGGTCAGAAATGCTAAGGATTTTGAACAGCAGGGGGCAGCAAATGCTTGCTTTTTTTTTAAACTTACAAGTCAATATTGTCAAAGCTTGAGTCATGTTGGTTTTATATGAGAAAGAAAAAAAAAGAAAGGAAGAAGGGGAGAGAGATGTGTTATAATTTAAAGGTCAGTTCTAAAGTGGCAAGTGTACTCCACTATAATTTACTTCAGTTACTTCTAGGACAATGCATGTGGTTTTTCATAGTTCTTTCCTCAAGGACCTCAACTGTTCATCTAGAATTATATACCGATGACCAGCAGATGGCAGCACTTTCCATTGGTCGGGAATATAGAACAAGATTTGAGGGAAAACATAAAAGCATACATAGGGCATGAAATTTTTATTTAAAAAACTACAACAATGAGCCAGCATTGATGGCCTAGTGGTTAAAGTTCAGCCCTCTCACCACTTCAGTGGCTCAGGTTCACTTCCTGGGCACAGAACCACACCACTCGTCTCTCAGTAGCCATGCTGTGGTTGTGGCTCACATAGAAGAACTAGACAGACTTACAACTAGGATCTACAACCATGCACTGGGGCTTTGGGGAGGGAAAAAAAAAGAAAGAGGAAGTTTGGCAGCAGATGCTAGTTCAGGGCGAATATTTCCCTGCAAAAAACAAC